TTACTTACAATTATTTAACAAACAAAAAAAATGGCTGTAATTATGGCTAAAAATTTTTTAGCCAATAATACGTCAAAAACTATAAAACAATTGCCATTAGTATTGTTAGTCTGTATTGTTTTGCTCAACAAATTAGTATTAGTGGCCAATTGTCAGCAACTATTGCCGTTATTACCGCCGCCGCCGACTACGGCATCGGCAGCACCGGTAGTAGTAGGAGGAGTACTGTCATCATCGTCATCATCATCGGCAACGGGAACTGGTAATGTTGTTAACAGTGCAGCACCGGTAGCTACTAGTGTATCGACACATAAACAATCAATAAATAATAATAAAATTAAAACACTAAGTGATGCCAATGTCGATGATGCTAATATTGATCTATTATATAATGGTCAATTACCTATATATAACCATGATCATTTAATTATTGATAATAATAATAATCATAGTCCACATCATCATGATCATATGAAATTGATTACCAATTTAGTACCATTACTACCACTAGCATCATCAGCATCAGCATCAGCACCGGTAGCTACGGCACCGGTAGCTACAGTACCGGCTGTTGTTAAGTAAGTTTGTTTTTTTACAAAAAATAAATTTATTAATAATAATGTAATTTTATTTTAGTTATTCAATATTAAGTTATTTAAAATATTTTTTTTTTAAATACTAACTAATCATTTAAATTAGTTTTTATTAATAATATTATTATTATTACTAATAATAATCTCTTAATAAGTTTTTTTTAACATTAAGTATATAATGTATATAAAGACTGATACAGACTAATAGTTTTTCATCAAAAAATAATATATTTATTATAATTAATAGTTTTATTAATGTTTGAAATAATAAATTTGAGATTTATTTTATATATCAAATAGTATTAAAAGCAATATTAAAATTTTTTAATACTAAAACAAACAAACAAACAAAAAAAGTTATCAATAGTAGGAAATTATGTTTCAATTACTAAATAATTAGTATTATTATTATTATTAGAAATATTAGATGAATTGACAAAAATTTTTTAAACAAAACTTCATGATTATTATTATTATTAGTAATTATTATTTAAATAATTATTATTTAGTAACTATTTTTTTGGTAAATTCATGAATAGACTAAAAGTAATAAATAATAAAATTAAATAAATATATCTATAATATAAACTTATATTTTTTTGAATAATAAATTAAAAGTTATATATATATTTTAATTAGTATTTTATTTAAAAAAAAATATATATTATAATAACTGAAAGGGATTAATGAATTAATCTATAATAATAATTATTATTATTATTATAATAGAAATATAATGAACAAAACATAAACAGTATATAAAATTTTTTTTATATATATAATACATATTATATATGGTATTAAAAAAACTATACATTTTATTGTTTGTGATCTAAAGTCTAAATTCATAGTCAATTCAATAGTTGTTATTAATATTAGATATAAAACTAGTTTTAATCAGAAATTGTTTTATTATTTATATATATATATTAGAGAAAAGATTTTTATCCTTTTATTTTTTTTCTTATATTATTATTATTATTATTATTATATAATACAGTATTTATATATTATGTCTATTGTAATCCAAAAAATTACAATTGCATTTACTTGTACTATAAATACAGTATATATATATATATTTAAAAATAAGAAAATATATACTGTTTTATAATAGTTTTCAAATATATATTTATTTATACTGTTATATAATAATAATAATAACATACAGTATATATATATATATATATATATTTTTTTACTCATCACTAAAAATAATAAAATACATTATAAGTAATAAAACAAAACAAAAATATATTTATTATATAATTTTTTTTACTGAATTTAATGTAAAAAGTAACTAAAAATATGTTTTATTTTTTGCTAAAAATAAGATATTTTTTGTGTAATTTTATTTATCTAAATAAATGTATTTATTTTGTTTTGTTTTAATACTGAATGTAATGACTATTACTATTTTGAAAAAAAGTTTTTATTTTTTTTATAACTTTATAAAAGGTGTAATCATTAACTAAAAAAATGATATTTTGTTTTTAAAAAATAATGTATTTTTATTATTATTATTTTTAAAACTGTTATTTTATCAGTTATTTTTTTGGGTGTTTTTTAAGTATTATTATTAGTATTGATTTTATTTTTTTATATATAATTATTACATTTATTTAAAACACGATTTAGATATATATATATATATATATAAAGTTTTGCTACCATTTTAATAGTGATGTTTAGATTTATTGATATTTATATTTTTATTATTATAAAATAAATTGTTTTTTAAATGTTATTTTTTGATGAATTAAAAAATCTTTTTTTTTACTAAAACTTTTATTTTTAGTTTAAAAATATTTGATAATAAATATATTTTTTCAAAATATTTGATACAATTATTGGCAATTGCTTTCTAATTAATTATTATAATAATAATAAATTAAATTTATAAATAATTATTAGTTTATTTTTATAAAAAAAAATTATCTAAATTTATATGTAATAATTGATACTTAAAAAATTAAAACTATACATAAGTTTACTAATATTTTTATAAATATAAAATTGTTTTTTTAATTTTATTTAATACAACAAGTATACAACAGTAATATTAAATAATAATAATAATATTATTATTTTAATAACAATAGTTGTTTGTATAATATAAATAAATAGTTATATTATATTATTATATGTTTTGTATGACATCCTAAAAGTCATTCACATTTAAGGCTAGTATTATATATATATATATATACTGTACTTATATTTTGTTGTTTCACTTAAATAGTTAGATAAATATCTCTCTCTCTCTCTCTCTCTCTCTCTCTCTCTCTCTCTCTCTCTCTCTTTCTCTCTCTCTCTTTTCATTAAATAATGATAACAACAAAAAATAAAGTTTAGTTTAGTTTATAATAATAAGTAAATGAAAGACAACTAAAATTTTTTTTTAGGGACAAGTTTTGCTAAAAGTATTATTTCACACACAAAACAAAAATAATAATAATAATAATAATAATAATAATAATAATAATAATAATAATAATAATAATAATAATAATAATAATAATAATAATAATAATAATAATAATAATAAATGCTATTATATTACTTAAAGTCTATGTATGTATGAGTACTTTAAATGAAAAATTATATTTTTTGAAAAATAAAACTAAAATTAAAAACATTTTTATATATATAATTGAAAATCCGAGGGAAGAGTTGTTTTATTTAGTAGTAATTGTTATTATATTTTGTTTTTTTTCAACAAAAAAAAATTAGTAAAATTATAATTAAAATTTAATTTACATAATTGTTAACAATTAAATATTATTGTTGTTTGCAGTTTTGAATATATTTTATATATATATATATATTATAGCTATTTTAATACATTTGATATCATTGTATATAAACAGTTATAAGCCTTTAATATAATATTTATTACATTAATATTAGTTAAAAAGTATTCAAAAAAAATTATTTAAAAAAAATATAATATAATTTATTGACTATTTTTAATTTATTAAAAAATAATAATTTGCTAATAACTAATTAAAAATTTTTTTAATACTATTATAATTATTGATACACGTTTGTGTATAATAATTAATTTATATTTTTCAAAAAACTATTAATATATTAATTAATGTAAATTTATTTTAAGTATTTTTTTAAATACTAAATCTTTTTTTTTGATATTTTTTTGCTATTATTTCCAATTAAAGACAATAAGAGATCACTGTTTTTGTGGTTAAACAAGATTTTTAGATTTTATTTAATAAAATAATTTTTTTTTCGTTAAAAAATTATTATTATTATTTTGCTAAAAATACATTTTCAAAAAAATTTATTATTATTATTACATTTGTTGAATACTAATAATTTGTTGGGAAAAACAAATATTACAATTAAATATACAGTAAATATATATATATATATTATTAGATTTTTTAAAATAGTTTTTTTGAAACTATATATTTGCATATTTACTGACAAATAATTATTACATAAATTATTTATTTATTTTGTTTGAATTTTTTTTCAATTATTTTTATTTTAACAAAAAGTTTTCATACTATGCTTACATAAGTAGTATTAGTTTAGTTGAAAAAAACATAAATTTTACAATAATTTATTTATTTATTAAATATTGCTATTATTAGTATCATTTATCAACAAATAATATTCAATAAAAAAAACTATATTTTTAATTATTTATACACAAAATAAAACATATATATAAATATTTTTGTTTTGCTTGTTGTTTAAACAAATTAAATAATTACTTATTTATATAATTGTTTGAAAAATATTGATACTAACGGAAAAAATAATAACAAAAAAATATGTTTTAAAAAATATATAATAAAATACTTGAAAAATATAGTTAAAAAAAATATTTGTTTGGACAGTAGGGCTGTTTTATTTTATAAACTACTAGTGCCCTAACCAAACAGTTTTGTTGTACTAATTTATAATAATAATAATAATACATTAGATATCTAATGGTAAAAATTAAATTATTTACTTATATTTTTTTCACTTCAAACAAACAAACAAAAAACATATTTACATATATTTCTCACATAACATAAATAATAATTAATATATATTTTAAAAAATAAAAAATATATTTAGTATTATTAGTATATATCAAAAAAATAATACTAATTATGTTAATAATTGATTAGCAAAAAAAAACAAATTATTTAATTTATTTACTATTTATTTGTTTTATTTACTAATCACTTAAAATCAATAATCATTTTATTTTATTTATTCATTCATTCATTCATTCATTCATTAAATAATTACTTTAAAAATAAATTGTTTGTAACTATTATTTACTAATTGTTTTTTTTTCTTAAAAATTTTTTTTCTATCAATGAAACCAAAAAAAATTTCAATAATAATAATAGGAGAGACTTATTATCCAAACTGACCTCCAAATCGATGATTGGCGGCTCCGGTATCGGCGGCGTCGGCGGCGGCGGTAATGACTACCTAACCGATTCTGGCCTACATATGGCACCGTCGATGTCTATGCCGTCGATGTCGATGGCCATGCCGTCGATGGACGGCTTGAAATCATCGCTATCGTCAATGATGTCCGGCCTATCATCGATGTCGATCAGTATGTCGTTGCCATCCCTGGGCTCATTGGGCTCCAAGTTTGGCGGTATGGGCGGTATGGGTGGCGTCGGCGGTATGTCTATGATGAAGATGAAGCCCTGCTGTAAAAAAGGCAAAGGAGGCGGTGGCGGTTATGGTGGCGGAGGTGGTGGTGGTGGCTATGGTGGTGGTGGCGGTGGTTCAGTGATGCCCGGTTTGGGCGACAAATCAGTGGAAAGGGATGTCAAAAAATATGTCGACGACCAGACACTGTCGATGCTGTTATATAAAGCCATGTCGTCGTCGTCATCGAAGTCAAAGTCCAAGAAAAAGGGTAACCGAAAGAAAGGTATGTCTTATTTAAAAAATATTTTTAAAAAAAATATATTTAAAAAAAGTTTTAAAAAAGTTTAGAAAAATTAATATTTAATTTTAGTTTTTTTTTCGTCAAACATGCAATGATTTTATTTAATTATTTTTTGTGTGAAATTTTTTTATAGTTATATAATGTTTTATTATTTTTATTTTTTTAATTATTTAATTAATAAATATATATAAACAATATGATATAACTTTATGTATAGTTTTTTATTTTAATTATCTAGGACAATGTATTAGATATAATATATGTTTAAATTATTTAAATAATTATTTTTTTTGGTAATCAAACAAGGTCATTATCAACAACAACAAAAAAATTAATTAATAATATCTATAATAATTAGTAAAAAAAAAATGTGTCAAAAAAATTATTTTTTAAAAATTTTAGTTTATTATATAACTTATTATTGTTTTTTTTATTGCAAATTATAATAAATTATTTTTGCGTTTGAAAAACAATAGGCGGCGGTCGTGGCAAAGGAGGCAAAGGTGGCGGTAAAGGATACGGAGGTAAAGGAGGCGCCGGCGGTGGTGGTGGTGGTTATGGAGGAGGAGGAGGTGGTGGAGGATATGGAGGAGGAGGCGGTGGCGGCGGAAAATCTGGCGGTGGTTATGGAGGAGGCAGTGGTGGAGGTGGCAGTTATGGCGGAGGAGGAGGAGGCGGTGGTAAAGGATATGGTGGTTCAGGCGGTGGTGGAGGAGGAGGAAGCTATGGTGGCTCAGGAGGCGGAGGAGGATATGGTGGTTCCGGTGGAGGCGATAGTGGTTACGGAGGCTCAGGAGGCGGCGGCGCCAGTGGTGGTGGTTATGGCGGCGCTTCTGGAGGAGGAGGAGGAGGAGGTTATGGCGGCGGCAATAGCGGAGGCTATGGTGGCTCAGGAGGAGGAGGTGGAGGAGGAGACGGTGGTTACGGTGGCTCAGGAGGCGGTGGAGGAGACGGTGGTTATGGTGGCTCAGGAGGAGGCGGTTATGTGGACGCAGGCAATGGTCTAGAAGTTGGTGTTGGAGGCGGCGGTGGTGGAGATTATGGTGGTTCCGGAGGAGGAGGTGGTAGTGATGGCTATGGGGGTGGAAATAGTGGCGGCGGCTATGGAGGAGGAGGAGGCGGCGGAGGTATAGAATTAATTAATTATTTATTTAAAAAATAATAAAATTTTTATTAAGTATTACTAATACTAGAGCTAATAAAACAATTTTTGTACATGATAAATTTATTATTATTATTATAATTATCAGTTTAATTTAATTTTTAGTATTAATTTTTTAAAATTCATTTTTTAGATAAGCTAGCTAAATTAAAAATTATTTTAAATTAATTATTTATGAATATTATTATTAATATTAATTTTTTTTTTAGGCGATGGTGGTTACGGTGGTGGAAGACAAGGAGGTGATAGTTATGGCGGTCAGGGAGGAGGTGGAGGAGGAGGAGATGGCTATGGAGGACAAGGAGGTGGAGGAGGCGGCGGAGATGGTGGTTATGGTGGTGGACAAGGAGGCGGTGGTGGTGATGGTTATGGAGGTCAAGGAACTGGCGGTGATTATGGAGGACAAGGAGGAGGAGGTGATGGATATGGAGGCGGAGGAGGCAATGGTGACGGATATGGAGGTCAAGGAGGTAGCGGAGGAGGAGGCGGTGATTATGGTGGACAAGGAGGAAGCGGTGGCGGAGGATATGGTGGTCAAAGTGGTGGTGGAGGAGGAGGCGGTGATTATGGAGGACAGGGAGGCGGAGTAGATGGTGGCTATGGAGGAGGACAGGGAGGTGGCGGTGGTGGTGACAATTATAACGGCGGCGGTGGTAATGATGGAGGATATGGTGGTGGACATGGAGGTGGTGGCGGTGGCGGCGACTACGGTGGCAATGGAGGCTCCGGTGGCGGCGGCAGCTATGCCGGGGGTAGTAGTGATAACAGCTATAGCAGCAGTAATGAAAACGGTATCGCAGGCATATCCATGACAAAAATACATGAGCTGGTCCAGGAGGCACTGTCAGCGGCACAACATTATCGGCAAAACGGCAAAAATGGTGACAATACCGGTGCTGCTGCTGGTGGTGGTGGCGGTAGTGGTGGCGGTGGCTATGATAACAATGTTAGCTGGGATGACGATAAAGCTAACGGTGCTGACGCTGGCTATAATAATGGTGGTGCGGGAGGAGGTCCTCAAAAGGGCGGGTATGGCGATGCCGGTGCTGGCGCTGGCGGTCCCGCCAACGATGACAAGTATAACGCCATCAATAATAACGAAGTAGGTGTGGGCGGCGGTGGAGTCAATGGTCCCAACAATAATAACTATAATACCAATAATAATAATGGCGAAAAACCTGGCGGTGGTTATGGAGCTCCCGGTGTTCCCGGTGCTGGTAATAATGGTTACGCAGCCGCTGCCGGCGGCGGCGGTGGTGGCGGTGGTGGCGGTAATGCTGGTCATCAACGAAACGGCGGCAACAATGACGTGGCCTACGATCGCGACTACAAAAACGGTAGCCGTGGTCTGACCCGACTGTTCGATAAGGGATACTTTGGCCACTTGGGCCGTAAAGCCAGTGCCAATGGTGGTCGCTATTAGAGAGAGATCTACCGATATCTATACATACATACCGACACCCACTACACACACACACAAACACATATAGTTGTATATAAATTATTATAATAATAATTATTATTATTTTTATACCCCACTGTCCTCCTAAATAATATTAAGCAATACTTAATTATTAAAWAAAAAAAATATATACATATCTATAGATTTTTTTTTTGAATAAAAAAAACTATTGTTATTATTATTATTATTATTGATATAATAATTAATTGTATTTTTTTTAAAGACAATAATTATTATAAGAAAATTTTTATTTTTTATATATACATTATTGTTTTATAATTATTTAGTTATATTTTTTTTGATAATAAATTTTTTTTTGTTAATTATATTATTTTTGTGATAATTTTGTTTATTTTTTTTAAATATACATATAAGCCATATAAATGTATATTTATATATAAATTGTATTTTATTTTCATTATTATTATATAAATTTAGTTTTAATTATCACCTAAACGTAAATATATTTGAAACTGATTTAAATTATCACTATTTAGTGTATAATTATTTTTGTTTATATTTATATTTAAAAAAAACAATTTAAATTCATCTATATTTTTAGTAATTTTATTATTTTTAAAATATTTTTTTATTCATTATAATTATAGATGCGTATAATTACTATTTAACATCAATATTATATTTTTTTGTATCATTAATATGTAAATTAGTTTAAAAACTTTTTTTTAAATAGTATTATTATTTTTTTAATAATCAAAACATATTATATAAAAATAATTATAAATTTTTATTATAAAAATGTTTATTTTTGTTGGTATTAATTAATCAAAATATAAATGTAATTACAATTTTATATAATAGTTTAATATAAAGTCATAAATTGTTCCCAATATATATGTTTGTTTTWAAAAAAAGTTATTTTATTTAAAATAAATTACTTTTAATTAAAAATTTATGGTTATTTTTTTATAATACTGTATTAATTATTATTATATAATATTTATTTAACAATTATTTATAGATTATAATTATCTTATATTTTATATTAAGATAAATATTATAATATATAAATAATTTATTTTAAAAATTTAAACAATTTAATTAGTTAAAATTAATAAATAATAATTAAAATATAATGTATTTAAATATCTTTTTTTGTAATTTGTAATTGTTGGTATTTTTATTTTCTGGTAATTATGACTAGATACAATTTTCAAATCAATAGCTATTAAAATACAAATAGTTAAAATTAATGTTTTAATCATTTTTTAATAAGTATAAAATAACATAAAAAATTTTAATAAAAAATTAATCTCTAATAAATAAATATATATATTTATTTATATTTTATATTAATGTTTTAGTTATGTTTAAGCTAATTAATTATATAAAAATATTTTTACTGTTTTATAAATAAATTAGCGCTCTAGATATAGTAATATAAAATGATATTTTTTTAAATATATGTTATAAAATATAATTTATTATCAAATTGCTTAAATATTTTTTCATTAATTACTAGAAATAAAATTTATATTTAATAATTGTCATGCTAACTTTCAAAAAATACATTAAATTATATATACATGATGTTTTATGTAAATATTTTTTTGTGTTTTATTTAAATAATAAAAAAATCAAATATATAAAAAAAATATATTTTGTTATTTCAATTTTTATTTTTTAATAATACAATGTTTTTTTTTAAATTTGTAGTGTTTTTATTTTATTTTAATAGTTAATAATTTGATAACATTTTTAATTACATTAATTTATTGATTATTTAAAATAAACTGAAATTTATTTTCAAATAATATAAATATTTCATAATATAATTAATTTGATTATTATTTTTTTTAGTAATTTGTTAAATAAAAACTATTTATCCAATAATATAATAATAATGCAATATTTAACACAATATTAGAAATATAGTTAAATAAATATAATTTAATAAAAATAATTTTATTTTTTTAAATTAAATCTATTTATAAATTACTCTAAAAATTTTAGAATTAAAACTATTTTGTATTTATAATAAATTTAATAAATAATAAAAATAAAGTATAAAAATAAAAATTTATAACAATAGATATATATATATACAAAGTTTAGGTCAAATAAATTATTAAACATTACTTACAATAATTTTATGTATAATTTTTTTTAACAATAATAATAATATACTGTATATATTGTTTGTATGTGTGAACTAATATATCACAAATAAATTTATTTTTATTTTTAAAAGTTATAGTATAAAGAAAGTTAAAAAAATTTTTTAAATACATAAGGAAGTGATTGAATTAAAAAAAATAATATTTTTATTCAATTGTATTATTATTACTATAATTACAATAATTTATTGATTTATATTAATTTATATTTATTAGTAATATTTTAGTTATGTTTCTCTATATATATATATATATATATATATGTATTTAAAATCTATTTTTATTGATGAAATAATTACTACATATATTATAATGAAAAATAAATTTTATGTAATAATTATTTAAATGTTTAGTCACTTATATATGAGAAACAAAAATGTAAACTCATTGGACATAAAATATTTGAATTTATTGTAAATTTAATATTTTTTTTATTAAAAAAAACTAGTGATGTTTATATAACATTAATATTTTTAGAGTTTTTTTTCTCATAATTTGTAAATTAAAAAAATATTAAATTTTAGTAAATATTTGTCATAAAAAAATATTTTTTTATATAAAAAACGAGTATTTATTTAATGATTTTTTTAAAAAAAATATTTAATACAATTTAACAAATATGTGAGCAATTTATTTATTACTATTATTGTTATCAGTTTTTTTAATATTTATTATTTTTAGATAATATATAAATATATATTATTTATAATTTTGTAAACAATTTTTTTTGTTTTAAATTTAAAAGAAATAGAAATTGAATTTTCTATAAAATCTGTTTATTTTTTTGTTGTGTAAATTAATAGACAATTAAAAAAAAACAATATATTTATGTCAATGAGGTTTGTGTTTGTGTGAAAACATATAAAATTTATATATATATATATATATATATATATATATATATATAAAACAACAACAAAAATAACAAAACAATTATTTGTTTAATAAGTTAAATATAGAAAAATTGAAATAAAATTTTTTTAACAGAAAAACAGCGGTATTTAATAAAGTGATAAATAATTTTGTTTTTTTGAAGACAAATATATTAACAATATTTAATAATAATATTTTTTTTTTGAAAACATTTAAACATATAAAAAGTTTTTTTTTGAAACACATAAATAAAAATTTACAAAAAAACAAACAAACATTTAGAGAGACATATAGACAGACAAATCACATATAAATTAGACATAAATACAGTAAATATTTTTTTTTTTACAAATAATTAACAAACAAATAATTTTTTTTTCTAGAAAAATAAAACATTTAAAACAACAAAACAATTTTTTTAACAACAAATATATAATACATAAGACAATAATAATAATATTAATAATTTTAAAGCTATTGACAAACTATTGGGGTTTTTTGTGGGACATATAGGTATGTGATTGTGTATAGAGCTTAGGTATGTATGTGTATGTGTGTGTGTGTGTAATGGTATAGACATTAGACATAAAATTTTGTTTTTTACAAAAAAAAAAATAACAATAACAGGAAATAATATACAAATAAGTTTATATATATATATATATATATAATACAGATAAGTATTGTTTAAATATTTGGCAACAAATTTAGACACAGAAAGAGAGAGAGAGAGAGAGAGAGAGAAATATATATATAAAAAATTTTGATAATAAAAATAAGATAATAATAATAATAATAATATATAAATATTTTATGGTTGCTCTTAAAAAATGAAATATAAAGTTATATATATATTATTATTATTAATAATAATAATAAAAACATATATATATATATATATTGGGCTATCATTGTTATAAATCATATATCAATAGTAGTATATAWATATATATATATATATTTATATTTATTAACAATAAAATTACTAAAAGATATAAATATATATATAAATAAATTTATTTTCAACTAAATTTATTGTCAATTGTGTGATATATTATTATTATTATTATTATTTGATAGATAGATATTTATACTGTATATATATAAACAATAATACTATTATATATATATATATATTATTTATAATGATTTTCAAAATAATTTTTTTTTATATATATATCAATGATATATGATTTACTAAACAATTGATTAATAATAATAATAATAATATTGAATATCTAATAATAATATATAGATTTTAAATAATACTGATATCGATAGTTAAAAAAATATAATACAGTAAAAAATATATTATGATTTAAATATATATATATATATATTTAAATTTAAATTTTGATTGAAACTAAATATAATGACAATAATATACAAAATTATTTTATATATAATAAGCAAACAATGAAAACAAATTTTTTTAAAATAATATTCAAATCAAAATTTTTCTATCTATTTATGATTTCAAAAAAAATAAATGAAATTATGAGCTATTTTTTTATTGAGTGATTTATGATTTTTTTTTTAAATGTGTGTCAGTCTATTGTATGTATGTATGAGTGTCAGGCTATGTTTTTAAGGGGAAAGTTGTATATTTTTTAGGTAGGGATTAATAATAATAATAATAATAAATTTTGGGGGAAGTGGGCGACCAATAAATCTCATATAATGTATATATATATATATAAACCATACCCTATCCTATCGTTTATCTTTGGACACCACATTGGATCGGTTGGTATGGGTTTGGGAGGAATGGTATGATAATTATTAGCAATATATATATATATATATATATATCCATGAGCTGTCACCAAAAAATGGTATCTGTTTTTTAAATAATAATAATAATAATTAATAATTTTAATAATTTTAAAATATCAATAAATAAATTTAGCTATAATTTAACTAAACATACTATTAGGATAACTGTTATAA